CCAACTGACACCACCAATAAGAATGTCATCCTGCTTACACACACATTTTTCTACTCCTTGCAAAATCATATCCATTTTAGCTTGGAATACTTTAGGTGCTGATTTAACCCCATATGGTAATTTGGTGTAGGAATAGAGTCCCTTGTGTGTGCTCATTGTCAGGTACTCACGGCTTGCTTTGTCAACACTTAGCTGAGCATAAGCATGCGACAAATCAAGTTTGCTGAAATATTTTGATCCCGAAAGGGCAGCATACAAGTCCTGTTGGGTGGGAACGGGATACTGCTCATCTTCAACAGCTGAGTTGATGGTTACTTTGTAGTCCCCACAAATTCTAACCGATTTGTCTGTTTTAACAGTTACCCCATTTTTCTCTAGTTTATTCAACTCCTTTTCAACTTCATCTTTTAGTGCATATGGAACCCTACGTGGCTTAATAAATATGGGCTTTGCACCATCTGTCATGGTGATGTGTGCTTCCAACCCTTTCATGCCCTCATAGCTATCTTTGAACAACTCACTGTGTTTAACTAGTAAACCATCAAGTTGACTTTTGGCACTTTCCGACTCGGATCTTGTTAAACTAAATATTTCACCCCACTAAAGCCTTATATTCTGTAGGGCAGAAGAAAGAAAAAACCTACTTTTCGACTATTGCTTTTTAATCATTTTCCCACCTACAGGATTTTTCAAAAATCGGTATTTATACGCAGCCAATTGATCTTAGTTGTCACCAAAATTTTCCAAAAAATCACTGACCGGAGGCGGAAATATAGGCGCACGAAGTTGGAAAATATAGAAAAATTCACGGTCGACTAGATCCCACTTTACATTTGCGCGAAGCAGTTCACGCGCTCAAATCGAGTACCCACGCACGCGGAAAGAGCGGCGGAGCAAGTGACCTTCCAGCCGTTAGTTTGATTTAGTCTTTGTGAGTAGGAGATATTTTTCAGTTCGATCGTTTTACGGGTTCGAAGATAAGTAAGCAAATTCAGGTGCGGAGAGTTTACCGTTCGCGTTTGTATAAGAGTGCTTCAAGATCTATCTAGATATGCACCATTGCAATTCAATGATGTTTGTTATTCGTGGAGTCGACGTCCTGGAGTCTGGAGTCCTTGGAGTAACCTCTGTCTGCTAAGTATTCAAGAATTCAATTCTTTCCCTAGCATAATAATGCTACTTAAACGGAATTGGTTATATTACTTTCGAAGTGGTGTACGATTTTGGACAAAATTGCGGCTTTGTTTGTCCCTTGTGGTGATCTCGTCGATTTCGACGTTGTTGTCGCCTTGCTCAGCATTGCCACAAGTCCTTCTTTGCCAGCGTTCTTGAGCAGATTTTCTAAATCGTGGTAAGTTAGCCCGCTTTCAGCAATTCTCTGAACGACCCTGTTTCACTGCTCCCTTGTCATTTTGCGGATGGTAAAGTTTGTTCTTAAATGTTTGCATACGTTCTAAGCGATCATCCAGGAATTGCATGTCAGCGAAAGCATGGAGCAGGGCTTTCTGTTATTTGCAGTTTGTGCGATCGTTAAATTCAGTGCTGAATCAAAGAGAATCATGTGAAGTGCTCTGACATATTCCAAGGCGTCATGTGCATCACGCTTCCGTTGAAAAAGGGTCTCAAACACTGCGGACAGGTTTGGTTTGCAAGCTTTTTCGTCAATTTGTAGGGAAGCGTTTCCAGCCTTTATTAGTGCACGGATAATATGGAGGCTATCAGCGAAGAAGAGATTCCATAATGAGCGTAGTTGCTTGAAGGTCAGTCCACCGCTACGAAGCAAAGTTAGTGTTTCAAATCTTGTGGAGTTGTGCCCAATGAGAACAATATGAAAATTACTCTCGCCTTTGGAAATGAATTTTGCGAAGTTTTCAAGGCATTGTGCAAGAGAAATAGAGAGAACAGGCTTGTTGTCTTTCAGGAAGGTTATTTTAGCGTTTATTGTTGTGATAGATAGTCCACTGATAAGAGAAGCATGGTGACTGATGTTGCATGTTGGATGGATGTACTCGCTTAAGCAATTTTCAGATTAGGTAATTGCAGATAGCTGGCAAATCTGTGCNAGAGCTCGGTTGAGAAACTCCCCATAGTTACAATGAATCGATAACTTCTTTAAGGCCACAATAAAGTCACTGATGGATTCGTCTTGTTTTTGATAGCGAGTTCCAAAATGGAAACTCTCTGCTATCTCCAATGGCGCTGGATTGTAATGTTTCTCTAATGCTTTGACAATGTCAGCAAAAGGAGTGTCTTTTGGTTTTACTGGTGCCAGCAGATTGCTCAGGGTAGAATATGCTTCGGGTCCAATCTCAGTCAGAAAGATAGCACGTTTTCTATTTGCAACTGCGAGATTAGCTTCTTCTTTACCCTCCCTGTTTCTTCCATGATATTATTTGCCATGAAGAACATTTCCATTTTTTCCACATGGGAACGAAAAGTCTCTCGTTCAGGGCTGAGCTCGCCGACACGACCAAACAGTCTAATTCCCGCCATTATGATAGCACGTGCTCAAACTTTGATCAAGTTGCCTCGGTCGAAAACAAACCTTTTTCCTCACACAGAGAGTATCAAAACTTCACTGGATTTCTCATGCGTCTTCGTGCATGTAGAGTATCCCATCCTCGTCGCCAAAATGAAACATACTTGCAAAAGTATGGCTTGGTGACATAACAACACAAGTTCACGAGGCTTGCTCAACACAACAACTTTATTCTCTAAGCATCTTGGGTAACACAACAGCTTAACACAACTTCCGGTTACGAATATATTACAATGCCGTTCTCTGATTGGCTACCCTACTCACTATCTATTCTGTGATGGATAGTGAGTAGCGTCGCAGCGTGCGATAGGGGCCGCTTCTTAGCGTTTTTGAAGTGTCTGTGAAGGGAATTTAGATTAAAGTTTTGAACCACTAGTACCTTTGTACTAAAACAATTAGATTATTCGCTCTCGATTTCTATGCGTGATAGTTGATTCGGGCTGCGCCCTCGTCAACTATCACGCGATAGAAATCGAGAGCGAATAATCTCATTGTTTAAGAGAAACATTTTGAGTACTTTACCTCAAAAATCATGCAAGCTAGCCGCGGGTAAGAAATACCAACTTCACTTTCTTCTTCGGATCCATATAATTTTTGCATTTTCTCGCATGCGTCCATTCTGTCGTCGTCGAAAAATGCTGTGAAGTCTTTCTCCACTTCCGACGGTCTGTTAGAAGCAGCGGTGTCCTCAACCTTTCTCTGGTCTCTTTGTACTTGTTTTTCACTGAGATGAGCCAGCCTTTGGATATATAACACATTAGAAGGAAAGAAAGTGTTAAGAAAATGTAATAGCCAGGAACCACGAGATAAATCCTGACGAACTCGTTCGCAATTTCTCTGTTCTTTTACACTAAGGGAGTAGCAGTATCTTTCTATAATCAAACCAACCCACCCACACCTCAAAATGAAAAGGAGCTGCACGACAAGCTGAATATGTCCTGTGACAATGTATAGGTTATAGACTCTGCTGAGCTCAAAAAGTGAATCAGGCATTCAATTAAATAGGTCACGATAATCAAATAAGCTGATCAATTCTAAGAAGATATATGAATACACTGGCGTCTTGCCTTAACTCAATGTTTGGACCACTGGTATATATGTAGAAATGTATTGATATATTAATGTAACGTGTACCTTGTTTTCATTTTCCTCAAGTCTTCATCTTTATTTGCAAGCACAACTTTACACTTTTCCATCAGTTCATTGTATCTGTTAAGAGAAAACGAAATAGAAACGTTTTGAAAGATGAATGTCACACGTGTGTCAAGTTTCGGGTGTCGGCGCTGCTTTCCCCCTCTTATAATTAAATATAATAATTTCTGGATGTTTCCAGATGCTGGGAGTAAGCAATGGTAAATTCATTAAGTCAGCCTAAAATTTGGCCATTTTGACTGGACTGCTTTGAAATTTAAATCCTATTTAGACGGTGCGGAAAAGGAGGAGGTGGAGGTTGATGCCCTTACCAACTTTGAAGGCTTGTAACTTTAACAACGTTAGAATAGTGAATTTTAAATCTGCTGACGTTTCCAAGAATCTATCTGAAAAAAATTTGGAATTGGTATTTGGTATTTGCCATTGGTCAAGGATCTTGAGGTTTTACATGACAACCATGTTAATAATAATAATAATAATAATAATAATAATAATAATAATAATAATAATAATAATAATAATAATAAAGTATTTATATAGCGCCAATCCACTATTTGTCCATGGCGCTTTACATTAAATAATAAAAAATATATTTAAAAAGCTAAAAAAGGGGAGGGGTAAAAAAAATAATAATAAAAAATAATCTAAAAATTAAAAGAGTTAAAAAGCTTGTTTAAAAAGATATGTTTTTAAATGCCGTTTAAAAATGTCAATCGAACTACTGGATCTTAGTTCAAGTGGGATCGAGTTCCATAGTCTCGGTGCCGCCACAGCAAATGCTCTCTCTCCGTATGTTTTCAGTCTAGCTTTCGGGGTCGCCAGAAGGTGTTGAGAGGACGATCTTAATTTCCGTTGAGAGGTGTTGTTGTGTTGTGTTGACAGGTGTGTTTGTCAAAGTTTGAATTTGTTGCTTATGGTAACTTCCACTTTTTTTTTAGCTTTGTTTGTCGGTTTTGACCACCTTTGAGCTATTTTGGGGGGTTTTCTAATGTTTTATAAAAATCCTAAAATCCAAGATGCATGGCAGCTTCTATCAGGCGTCCGTTCGGAAATGATTGTGTCAATTCTGCGTCATATGACGTCATCGTTTCATGTTATGGACATCAAAGGGAGTATTTTTGGTCGCGCTATGAATCATCCTAGTTTCGTTCCATAACTTTAACGCTGCAATATATACAGGCTCAACCCTCAAAAGTCTCTCCCCTCACCGGACTATGAAAGCCTGTCTAAATAGGGTGAAACATCAATCGGTCGACTTTATTTATGTGTTGAAATTACCAGCTAACTATATTTACCTGGCCTCGAATTGTTTCACTTGTTCGTCCTTGGCGAGAATTTGTTGAAGTAGTTCCTCGTTTCTGAGAATTAAAACAAACAGAGAGCCAAGTGGTGCATGACTATTCATATAGGCCGGTCAACTAAGGCAGTGTTGGCTTAGAAATAAATCAGTCGTGTGACTTTTAAGATTTTAAGAAGCACGCCATATGAACTTTGAACGCCTGATCAGCTTCAATGTCTACACTCAGTCGGAAGAACTTTTTCGCATAGTTACTGATGAGTCATGACAAGTGTCAAAAAGATAAATTTGATTCACATCGATGTCAAGTTACCGGTGTCGGCTATTTTGTTTATGTAGATCAAACGAAACTTTCAAAACGCCCTTATCCACGGTCTCTTATATTCTATATGTAGATCTTCATTACTGAGTGGCTAATAATTAAATTTAAATTGTTTTTTTTTCCTTCCATTTTTTCCGCATTATTTATCTTTTACTAAAAAAGATTGCAACTGCATTCACCATGCGAAAACTTTTACGTGTAATGGATTTCTACAATTAAGTCAAGCACAGTATTGCAACAGCTTTCCGCTATACATCATCTGTCTCGATAAATGAGAGAATGTCATCACATATTACCAGTGCCATTCGTTTATATTTTGGATTTCAGCCCTTTCTTCTTTCTTCCTGCCCAAGCGTATTTTGCTCTCGACGCAACGTGCGTCGAAACGTGCGTTTTTTCCTTTCTCCTCAGCACAAGCACGAAAATTGCTTTCAATTTCGACGTCTATTTCATCACCTCGGTTGACCATTTATGGTAAGCAAGCGAGGCTATAGCCGGGTAAGTCGAATAGGTGTAGAACTCTGAATTGAAATTCTACTTGCTTGGTTTGGGCTAATTGCCTATGGAAATGTTATAAAGATAGGTTTTCGAAGTATTTTATTACTTAAAAGCTTATTATTCTTCTGACCCTTTCCTTCGTGCATCCCATTCTCACTCTCTCCTTCCTTTCCGTAATAAACAGACAAAAATAATAATAGATAAATAGAAACAGCCCTGGCTTCCAAATAGTAAACACGATTAGTTTTGACTGTGACATAAACATGTCCATGTACCTAGTTTTCATTCCTTTCAACTCTTCATCTTTATTTGCCAGATGAGCCTTACTCTCTTCTGTAAGTTTATTGCACCTGTTCAAAAAGTAAAAGAAAATGAATTACCAATGTCCACAGAGAGTTAGGTTGCACGTGTGCCCTGCATGTTTAGATTGTCGTCGACGATGTTTTTCGTAGCATATATACTTACTACATAAGGATAAATTGATTAGGGCGTAGATGTAAATTTATTAATTTTATTAAAAGAGATGTTTGCCAGATTTTGACACTCAGTAAAATGTCCCCTGGATTCACAAATTCAATTACAATGTCTGTCCATCTTTGCTAGAGTACTTTAATTAAATTAAAATTACTTTAAACAGCTCCTCTTATCTGAGAGTAGCTTTAAGATTAACGCACCATCCATATTTTCAAATACCGTATCTGAAATTAAAATCTGATAATTGCTGCCGCTTATAATTAATTTTGACGTACCGCATATCTCTAGTAACCTGCTGCATACTTACTTTGCTTCGTATTCCCTCACTTGTTCTTCTTTGTCACGTATTTGTTGAGTTAGGTCCTCTTCACTGAATAAAAAAAGTTAGAAATAAAAAAAGCTGACTTTTCGAGCGTTAGCCCTTCGTCGGAGCGAATCGAGGAATTGTGGGTTGCGTGTGGTTTATATACAGAATGATGGAGCTACGCAACTGGTTGGTGCATGGTAACGTGAAAAACAGCAGAATACATTAGTTGAATGAAAAGCGTTCGTTGATACCGTGAGGATTAAGAGTGCCGATTTGAAAAATAAATTTTTGTTCAGAGTTTTGCGGCTTTCTGTGCTTCCTTGATCTAGGAACTCTCTTTGGAAAAAATTTTTGAAGAACAGCAGCTTTTAAATCATTTTATTCTGTGATTTAGTTNATTCTTCACTCTCATCTACAACCGCAGTTCGTATATGAATTATTTCATATAAACTTCACATCATTTCACTCCTCACGGGAAGATATGAACGCAATTAATTGACCTCGCTCCCAATGTGTGGCTTCATAGCTCAGTTGGTAGAGCATCGCACCGGTATCGCGGAGGTCACGGGTTCGAATCCCGTTGAAGCTCTGATTTTTTTTCAGGCTTCTTCTTTCCAATTGCTTAAATTGGAAAATTAACTGCGATGATCATTCTTCACTTTCATGGTTTACTATTATTACAGTGATTACTATAAATAGATAGACTCCTTTATGGGAAAGTAAGAATCTTATTTACTTTAAACAGGCAGCAATATCTCAGATGGAAAAAGACCTTAACCAACGAACACAAGACGTTAAAGAACGAGACAAAGAGGTATGTGCACCGGAATGGGCGATACCCTCAATTTTTCGTTTTGTTTTGCTAATTAGGCCAGTTTGTTGTTGCTTTAAGGCTGGTTTTCACTAGCGACGGAGTCGGAGTCGGAGTCGGAGACATAAGAGCGCTTATGACCTAGTGAAAATCGAAAATCGGAGTCATAAGCGGAGTGATAATGTCCACGGAATCGGAGTCGGAAGAATCAGAACGTTTCCATTTCTTCCGATTGCGTTTACGACTCCGTCGCTTATGATCCAGTGTAAACTAGATTGTCGGAGTCGGAAGCAGAAGCGGAAGAACCAACCAATCACAAGGCCCAGAATGGATCATTTTGATTGGTTTATTTTTCCGCTTCTGCTTCCGACTCCGACAATCTAGTTTTCACTGGATCGTAAGCGACGGAGTCATAAACGGAATGGGTGTTCTTCTTCCGACTCCGTCGGTTTGATTTTCACTAGTTTGTATCACTCAACGCTTCTGATTATGACTCCGGCTACGACTCCGTCGTCTTCAGAGGACTTTCCTGCCGTTACAAAATTGGGCAACTGCGAGTCTCCCGAAACCTAGCTGTTGGTAACCTGTCGGCCGGCAGTTGACCGACAGTCGGTTTCGGAAGCTTACCCTAAATTGGGCGCCTTCCGTAGCCCATTTTTGTTTCACGGTTAATTACGGTCGATTCGAACATTTGCGAATTCAGAGGATTATTTTGCCTCAAAAATTCGTCTTGTTTCAAACTCTTACAGTACGCGTTGGTCGCCTGTGATTTCAGAAGCATTAAGTGCCTTAGGCCTGGGGCACACGTCGAATCCAAGTCGCGTCGAATAAATTAAAAATAGCTGCGACAAAGAGTCGACTTTATTCCAACGTGGTAGCAAACGTCGAACCTGCGTCGATCCTATTTAACAAGTTGCACTTCATTAAAACACGGGAATAAGCACGTGTCCCCGTGCTATTCACTCGATGCGCGACTATTTTCTGCTAGGACTTGCTAGCGANTATTTGTACTATTCGAGACTATTCGCACTATTCGGGACTATTCGCTATTCGCTATTCGCGACTATTCGCTATTCGCTATTCGGGTTTTCCAGACACTCCTTATGATCCAGTGAAAACTAGATTGTCGGAGTCGGAAGCAGAAGCGGAAGAACCAACCAATCACAAGGCCCAGAATGGAGCATTGTAATTGGTTCATTCTTCCGCTTCTGCTTCCGACTCCGACAATCTAGTTTTCACTGGATCGTAAGCGATGGAGTCATAAGCGGAATGGGTGTTCTACTTCCGACTCCGTCCGTTTGATTTTCACTAGATCTTATCACGCTACGCTTCTGATTATGACTCCGACTACGACTCCGTCGCTGGTGAAAACCAGCCTTTCATGTTTTCATACAACCCGGAACTCAACGTAAGGTTTGTTTTACTATAAATATTTGTTCCAGCTACAGGCAGGATCGATTCTAAAACGCTCTGCTAACAAAAAGCTATCTGAACCAGGTCGATACAAAGATCGTTCACATAAATTCTTCATACGGAAATTCTGGATTCTTTCGATATTAAATACCGACAGATCAGGGAGGTTTGCTTTACATATTATATAAACAAGAGTAAGGTCCGTGTCGTCTGTTCACCATCGTTTAAGCTTAACTGGATAATATTTCTATACTATCTTAAAGGGATGTCATTGGTTTATGAAAAGCATTTAAGAAGCTAGAGTTATTGAAGTCGCCGTCCTATACGAAAATTACACAATTTAAAGCATTTTGTCTTTGCCGACACGACACGCGAAAGTTTCCAGCGTCCACTGCCGTTCCCGTCTTGGTCTTCCCGTCCTTATATCGTATAAAGGTCCCTAATGTTGCTTGCGATGCAGAGGACATTAATGCCATGCACTCAAATTTTTAAAAAATATATTTCGCAATGTAGAACAGAATCCTGCTACCAGGTCGGTTACATCACTGGGCGACTCAAATGGCACAAAAAACCACGAATTCACTGTTCACGGTAATTCATTCCTCTCAAGGAAACTCGAATCCCTTTCGAGGGATTATTCAACCCTTTCGAGATATTTCAAGGGATGAAGTATGGATTGTCAAGCTTGCTCGTGAAGAAGATTCTGTTTTTATTCGATTTTTTTTAAACAAAATTTGAACAAGAAAGGTGTTGGTATTCTGGTAGGAATTATAAATGTTATCCAGAATTTTTGTCCGAGTTCAGTTTCATAATAAGAACTACTTCTTGTCAGATGAGAAGCTTTTGTTATCTGGAGACATTGAATTAAACCCAGGTCCTGCAGAGATTCCTAATCCACTTACCTACGGCCATGGATTCATGTGCTCATCGAGCACTTATTTTTTTCTTTGAAGAAAGTGGATTACCTGAAGTTCAGTTCCTTTAACTCTTCGTTTGTTCTTAAGGTGGCTTGTTTGTATGGCTCTTCGAGTTGGTTTGACCTAAGTAGATCACAAGCCTAGTTTTCACATTATATGACAAAACCGGGTAAAAGTAACACATAATTAAATTAACCAAAAAGAGATATGTAAAATACTATTAATGAACGATTCTAAAGTGAAATCATCTGGATATTTCGACGTAGGCACCAAATACTCTTTGACCAAGGACATGCTCGTAAATACTTCAAAAAAAAATTTTCATTCAACAACAACGAACCAGGCATACGGCAGCTATATAAACCTCACTAGTACCGTAGGACCTAAATTACTCGGCCATATCAACGTAACAGGATGGTCGTATTAAACACGGAGCGACCAAATAAACGGACAGGCCTGCATGGCCAACCCACTTTCTAGCACTTTCTTCTCTACTAACATTCTTTTTCAGATGAGACATTGGTAAACAAGTTGTAATCATTTACTTGACATTAAAAAGTACTATTGTAGACGTTACTAAAGGACCGAAAACCTAAGATAACTAACAGAGAGTTCGAAACACGAAACTCTCCACGAGGCGTCCAGTCCCCAACTTGAACTCAGTCTTTCCCTCATGGGAGTGACGTAATTGGCGCTCTTTGGTGACGTAATCGCCTTTCTTAGGTTGTGCTCTAGGCGACACAAACTTTGTCATATTTGAGCATCTTTGACGAGCTCTATATTGCCAACGTACTTTCGCTGAACACAAATATTTTGAGCTAAAGTTATATATTAAGAATTCCACTTGTAGGTTATGAGCTTAAGATTAAGGCCAAATCGACCATCAGCTCGTAGAAATTGAGAGCGAACAATCTAACTGTTTTTGTAGAATTTTAGCTCAATTTCCTGAGCTTCAAGCAATGATTTCCAATTATTTCCCCGTATTTTGTAGCAGTATTATGTATAAAACTCCGTGCTTTAGCGCGCAGAACGAATTGCCATTTGAAATTTGCAGCAGCGTACAACGGGTTCATCGGTTCATTCGACAATGTTGAGGTTCAAAGTCGAGTATCGGCAAAGGTTCTTCATATAGTCTGCTTGGAAATTGAGTTGTCCAGAAAATTTTTTAAAAATATTCTTCCGAAACTTCCAAGAAACAAGTAAATGCAGCTAAGTGTGTAAATGCAGCTAAAAAAAGTGCAGGTATCCTTGTACCAAAAAAGGTTGATGCCAACGACCACTGCCCTTCCCCCCCCCCCCCCCC